TGAATGACATGCAGTACACGTTATATGATTACAACCTCCATTTTTACTGACAGCCACACCACAGATATTTCCCGTGGTCTGGTCTCTACCTGGACAATATTTAACTTCGATTGGTGTTGAAGACAAGGTTGAAGGTTTACGTTTTCTATCACATTCATCACAGACGAAGCCTTCTAATTGAGGAATTTCACCATCAGCCATGCAAACTTTTTCTTGTGCTTTTTTAGTTTTATAGCAATCCAAACACCAACCATAATACCAATGTTCATCGTAGTCATTTTTCTTATCCGATCTCAGAATTGTGCAAGCTTGTTTGTTGTATCGTTTAAGAATATTTCCATTCGGTGCATGTTTACAGAATGGACATGATAGATGTGCAATTAATACAATACCGCCTGGGCGAACGACTTCATACCATTTTGTTAAGCATTCAGCACATGCTTCAGCATGACACAATTTATTACCACAAGTAGCATTCATTCTATCACGTGGAACATCATCGCAGCATATATAGCATGTTGCCATTTCGGATTTGCCACTTCGTATCCATGATCGAATCTGACGAAACACAGCCGCTGGATCGAATATTAATTTATTTTTATAAGTTAGTGCCACTGAAGAAGTCGATTGCGGAGTCGAATTAACAATCTTTGATCTTAGTAATTCGACCTTATCTCTTAGTTTGAATAGTGACCAGTCGCGTGAAAATATATCAATATCATCTTTTACGTTAATATTCAAATATTTGAATAGAGTTTTTTTATTTTCATTGATCAATGCACTCATTGAAATTTCACCACTGCTTGTAGCTCGGTTATTCGCCGAATGTTGACATTCAGCACATAGAAATGTGTATTCCTCACCGGGCTTTGGTATTGGTTCAGTCGAGTCATAGTGAACATATTTATTTTGACATCCCGTGCAACGACGATAGGGTGCATCTCTGCCTAATTCTCGACAATAATAGCATTTCGGTGATGAAGATAGCTTTTCATATTGAACTATGGCATATAGACAACTGCATTTTTTGCATTCGACTAAATGCGACATTTCTCCTGAACATGGTTCGGGTAAATTTTGGAGATCGTTTTGTGGCAAGCACAATGCACAAGAACTTTTCGCGACATCTGGATATAATGTAGTCGATCGAAGAATATTACATGTTCTACAGCGAATTTTCGTATCATGATGTATAGCTTTCACTGTTGGCGTGAACGGTTGTTCGATATTTATACGTGTAGTAGCATTTATTTTTAATCCACCGACAATGTAGAGCTTTTTGAAAAATGACTGCTCTTCTTCAGTAAAAAATTGTAGTAATTGAACACAAATTTTACATAGACTATAGGTATAATTTTCCGTTTGTTCCAAATCAATCCATTTACTTTTGATGCTTGTTAAAAATTGCGTGGCTCGTTCCTCAAGTATACCATTCTTTGATAATACACAAAGCATTGCTATGATGGCCGCTGGACGCAATGAAAATATCAAACCTTCGGCTAAAAGATGCGGCAACAATTGAAATAAATCATCATCATTCATATTCAATGGTAAATAATTTTCTGGTAGATTTTCAAGGTCGTTAACGACAGTAAGATGGTTTAATAACGACATGACATTGCGTATTGTTTGCGGACTGCATGATCGTGTAATTTCCAATAATTCAGTTCTGTTCATTTTTCTATCCATTGTTAATACGAGAGCTGGAACGTGTTCTTTAACTTGGGCAATGGTAGCTAGAATGCTCTCTTTAGAATTGTAACTTTCTTCTACCCAAGCTCGAACAATGTCGGCGTCCGTTTTCAAGGTTGTATCTGATGCCATTGTATTTAATGTTTTCGATAACATGGCTACTAGTTGATCTCGTTGTGTATCTTTTCTTTTTCCACAAACTGAACGCCACAGCAAGCCTAATACACTGTTGTATGTTAAGGCAACAATGTGTTGTGGAACCATTAATGAGTTAAATGTTTCATAGACAACTGATTTATATTGGTCATCATTTTCGAATTTAGCCAGCATAAATCGTAAATCGACTTTCATAAATTCGATTGGATCGACAGAAAACGATACAGCTTCGACTCTTTCACGCGGTCGAGATATCCGACAAGGTAAATATAGACGATTCTTAGAGCGTGCATCGTTTTCATCATGAAAAACAGACAAATCAATAGTGGGGAATTTTAAGCATTCGACTAAATCTGTTGCTCCGTATTCGGCATTACATAAACTAGAATATAAAGTACAATAAAAGCATAATACTCATTTATCAAATGTTTATGCATACCCTAAGAATAGATTGATAGTGCATTTTGAAATCGTTTGTACGTCAGTACGGCGTAAACGTAATACTTTGCCTTGTGTATATGCACTGAGAAGAATATAGAATGATGCTATTTCGAATCTTGACGTATTGATAAATGAAAATATTCTACAGCCTGTTTGTTGATAGAGTTTGCATAGTTGAATCCAATCTTTTTCTTTGATCGCTTTTTCTTCTTGTGCTCGAGAAGAACCACCGGTTGTTCCATGATGTGGCGGTGCATCTGTATAAATAAATACAATTGTTTTAGAATCAACTAGATTCATATCCAGTGCTTTGTTCAATGCTGTTTTTGTAGCTTCTGGTTCATCACCTCCACCCTTTGGTGCTAAAGAACTAAGAAACATTGAAATCTTGTTCATATCATCATTATAACCCGAGAAACCGGTAACTCCATCTATCGGCTGATCATAATCACGATACCCTACAAAGTAAACATGTTGAAAATCATGAAATATTCATGTCTTATACACATACATAGAACGCCAATCTCTGACTTTTTCTCGGTAGCAAGTTTCATGATCGACCCAACCTGATACAGAGATATGGTAAGAGAGTTCAAGAATGCGTCCATGGATCCCGTGGCATCCACAATAAACAATACCCGGTAGGCAACATCATTGCTTGAGGTCGATTGTTTCAATAACTTTGACATGTTTCAATAGCGCTTATGAAATGGTAGCATTTCGTGTTTTTATATTGTGATTTGTTCTGTTCTCGCGTTATTATCAATATTGACATTCGATGTCATATGATGAAAATTGCAACAACGAAGCAATTCTTACATATATATTGCGTCATAGCTGCTTATTCATTCAAATGCATCATGTTTTCGAAATTTTTCAAGCACACACTTTCATCATCTTTTTTTCTTCAAGCAGAACTCGTAAATCTTATAGAAAAGAAGCACAGTTTATTATCGGTTTTCTTTTATTTATTATTTTTCACTAAAAACAATTGTCAAAGGTGATGATAATAATAACAATGAGAAAATTCTTGCGTGAAAATCTCGTATTTATATACGCGATAGATAAAGCATCTACAAAAAAGGGTGTGGGGTGTGGGTG